CTGGGCACCCGCCCTACCAGTGAAACTGTTTGTGCACTCCGATCGCACACATACTCCCCCGATATAGCGCGTGCAATGCAATCGTCGAAATCACCAGAACGTCGAATTTAGCTCATGTTGGGATATATTGTCCACTGTCTACTTTGTCCAATCATGCATTATTGTCCGACAGTCCATATTTGTCAAAATAATTGCCAAAATTACTTTTAAGTTAGACTCACTATCCCATATTGTCCACGATCATGCTTCTGTGATACATGTCAGCTGGTTGTACCTACCAACAAACAGGGATATAAACAGTAACATATAAAAGTCAGGCTCCCTTGAAGGACTTGTGTCTGTGGTTGCAGATACAGGACTTGTGTCTGTGATACATGTCAGCTGGTTGTACCTACCAACAAACAGGGACATAAAGCAAGCGAGGACCATGTGTCTGTGGTTGTAGATACAGGAGGACCATGTGCCACCAGGGAGCTGTTGATGTAAAGCGTCATGTATAGTACACAAAGGGCTCCACTCATTTAGTGACCTATGAATATGTAGTGTCACAGCTTTCATAGGTTGTCCCTCTAACTGTTACACACTAAGGCTGACTTGAAAACAGGCATGGCACTCTCTCACTTGTTGAAGTGAACGGTTTTGTTAATACATGTCCAAACCATGAACAAATACAGTGAACTGAAAAAAACCAGTACGATATACTATCTTGTAAAATACTAAAATATCATGTCCTGTAAACATTGGGATATCATTACTTGTAAAATATGAATATAACTTTAAGAAAAACATAAAGGTTCCTTTATCGGTAAAATCTTCTGGATTGTTGTATATAGTGAAATGATGGGTCATTACTATATGGTATTCATGATGACAATGTAGACAACAGTATCCATCAACAGGCTTATAATGTCGTATTTTCTTGATGAGTCTTTATTGAGCAATTGAGACAATAACAAGGACGCCAAAGACCCAGGTTGGATTCCCACATGGGTACAATGTGTGAAGCCCATTTCTGGTTTCCCCGCCGTGATATTGCTGGGATATTGCTAAAAGCAGCGTAAAATTAATCAATCAATCATTCAATCTCACTCGCTCTCTTTTTTTCTTTTTTTTTCTCTGTTTCTCCCTCTCTCTCTCTCTCTCTCTCTCTCTCTCTCTCTCTCTCTCTCTCTCTCTCTCTCTCTCTCTCTCTCTCTCTCTCTCTCTCTCTCTCTCTCTCTCTCTCTCTCTCTCTCTCTCTCTCTCTCTCTCTCACTCACATACTCACTGACTGTAACAGTCAAAATGTAACTGTAAATGTTGAAATATAATTATTTCCTGTTACACTACATTGTTATTGGGCATGGGGAGATAGGTAAAGCTTGTTTACAAAACACGTGATGAAGATGTTCATGTCTTGTATTGTTAAGGCGTAGTGAGAGTACTTCTGGGAGTGGGATAACTACGTCAGTTATGACATCAGCATCAGCTACTGAATGGGCTGAGTGTGTAGTATGTGTATGTATTTCATAGGTGTGAAATATTTCACACATTACAGAAATTGTCCTCAGGCTCAAGCTGCTGTACCTGACCTACTAACCTTCAGTAAACAAATGATTAGTCAAGTGACGACAGTCACGACTAGAAATTATCGCCCTGTGAATAAAATACCTTTGGGTGGTAAGGCCATATATAAAACTTTTCTTGTTTCCCATTGCTGCCCGACCCAAAAATTCAACCCGACCCTAAGATTGGTTTAAAAAAATTTACTAGAGAAAATGCAACTTTGACCTGCAAAATGTGCATGATTTTTTTACACATTTATTAGTGTGCATGTTGAGCAATTTTTATAACATGCCATGCTTAATGTGCCACAATATTATTACCCCCTTCAATAATACAGAGAGTGTCTGCTAGATTTAGTTTTAATTCTCAGCTCCATGGGAAATATAGGTTGCCTGTGATGTGCTATAAGGTAACTTATACATTACTATCTCATCCCACTTGGTACCCATTCACTGTTGGGTGAACACAGGCATGTTTCAAACAAAGTCCCTTGTACTTCAGTATCTGTTTTCATGGTAATACATACGCAGAGTTTATATATAATTTTACACACTTAAAATATGTGGGTAAAATTATGGTTGAATTATTATTTGCCTATTGGTGTAAATGTTGTTTTCTTGTTAATAATTAACATGTAAGGTATGTTATATATGAGATTATACTTTCTCAGTAAAGTAAAACTTCTAGTACTTTCTTAATTTGAGTCTCGTCCTGGATTCGAACCCATAGTCTCAGAATCAGGCACCTAATCGTCAGCACATGAAGTCGGACATCTAACCCACTCAGCCACCGCAGCTTCCACACAACTGGAAGTCGGACAACTTGTAGTGAAGTTCACACACTTTGTGTATCCCTCTAATAAGTGTTGGTGTTTTTTTCTGACAAGAAATTGGAGGTTTACTTTAAAAGTTGGAATGTGGAACATCATATTCTGACTGGTTTAATTCTTACGACGGTGATGTCCCTCACTATCAGATGGTTGTATTTCTGGATAATTATGTCGAGCAGTCATACTGGTAGCATAACTTTACATACTCTGGTTCCTGTAGCAGATGAAGATAGTTGTGAGGAAACCAGCAGGGTGTACAGTAAAGCAGATTTGTTGACAGGAAGACAGTATCTGGTTGAGTTACATGTCTGCTGTTATCAGAGCACAGGAAAGGAACGCCATTGATAGTCGGATATGCTGCTGAGTTGGCGAGTTCTAACAGCCATGGTGGCGTGCGGATTGGTGTGCTTGGGAAATAAAATCGTTTGATTTTGCAAGAAACATTGAAAATATTCCCAAGGCATAAATGAAATGGTCTGATCTATGACATGAATTATTTCAAATTGGATGCAAAAATGTAACATATATTTAAGAAATGTTAGGAATATGTAGTAAGACTTTAATGTGTTGCAACATGTAGACTAGTAGGAAACAGATGTCAGATGTGGTTATAGGAAATAGCAGAGAAATGTGACTACAGCGAGTGGGGACCCTTTTCATGTCTGTGATTATTGAGTTTGTCTGACAAGTTTTACAGTTTTGTAAAGTATACTACTAGAAGAGTAGTGGATCTCCAGACTGTTTCATGTTGCTGTAGTTAATCAGTGTTGGCATATCTCCTTGTCACCAATACATGGCAAAATAACTGTTGTATTATAAAAAAATTGGGGCGGTGGGGTAGCCTAATGGTTAAAGCGTTGGCTCGTCATGCCGAAGACCCGGGTTCGAATCCCCACATGGGCACAATGCGTGAAGCCCATTTCTGGTGTCCCGCCGTGATGTTGCTGGAATATTGCTGAAAGCGGCGTTAAACCAAACTCAGTCAGTCAGTCAGTCAGTCAAATACATGGCAGAATAACTGTTGTATTATCAAATAAATTGAGTAGTTAACTATATTTTAGTAGTATATGTGTGATAGTATGATACAGGGAAACTTTCTGTTAATGAGTGAGTGAGTATGGTTTTACGCCACTTTTAGCAATATTCCAGCAATATTCCAGCAATAACGTAATCCACGAAACAAGGTGATGTCACATTTTGTGTGCATTATTGCAAATGGCTTCAATACACAAACGTTTCATTCATGAGTGGAATATTATGCATTTTCAATTTGCTGAATCAATGAATAAAATCGGTGAGAATACAAAATGAAATCGTGAATTTAAAAATATCATTTGCTTGTTTCTGCCTTTCTGTGAATCAACATTGAAGAGAAGCATCACTTATGAAAAGATTTCGGTGAAGGTTTCAGGTGATTAATGCAACTTACGTATTACCTAATATGCTACAACACAGAAAAGGTACTAAACTTAAAAATGTGTAATGGGGTATATCTGTAATACGTTGCAGATCTATTAATTTACCCTACATCATGCTTGTTGGACATGTCATTTCCACCCCTGACTTTAGAAAAGTTGCTTTACAAAAATGAAAATGAATCACTGATGTAATAAGCTCTTCACACATGTATACACTCACGTAACCTTGATTCGTGGATGTAGGGGAAGTGCAGTGAAAATCATAATTCTTCCCATTTCACCTCCCTGTATCTAGTCGTGTTCCGATGATCGAAAATAACTGAAAATCGATCGAAAGAAGGATTACAAATAATTATCGATTGTGAAAAAACGCATTTTCTATTAATCGGAATTTGGTTGTTTAAGTGTGACACACTTGAATGAAGTTAACTAACCATTAAATTTGACAAATATTCATGAACAAACATGCGCTCAACTGCGTAAAGCTATGCGAATTGTAAAATTTTAACCACTTTTATTGTTTAATTACAATTCCAGTGTCTTTCTTGCATGCGGCATTTCATTGCATGACAGTATTAGTTATAAAAAACATTTATTAGAAAAACCCTGGGGAAAAACCCAGGTAAATTTGGTGATTACATTAAAAATGTATATATTTTGATTATATTCGATAATCATTCACCACAATCCTCCGATAATCGATAGTGGATTTGGTTTCTGATTCCCAACACTACTTGTATCCATGACAACACAATGGCAGCAAGTGACCATGCTGAGGATTTATTAAGTTCAGTATATAGAAAATGGGATATGCATGTACGTCACTGTCAAACACATTACCCCCCAATGTGTCGTTATAGGTGTTGGAGGTGTCGCAGTGCTAATACCTGTATTGCAGTATAGTGAAGGACAATATTTTTCCAATACACAGCCCCATAAGCACATAACGTTTACTTTTGTTTTCACTATCTTATGACTACTGTTGTTTTTATTGTAAATATATTGTAAAATTTGTTAGTTATTTTGTGTTGTATGCTGTCTGTAAAAGTCATTGACCTTGCTGGAAACCAGAAGCAGAGTCCAGAAAATAGCTGGAGCCGGTAATGGTTCTGATGGAACCACCAATAAACATTTGAGACTGCCTGTGACTTTAATCATAATAGTTCTTTGCTAGCTGGCTTTTGACTGTTTTGTCTATCTCGTTTCAGGCACGATTATGGACGTGACAATCTACTCCAAAGTCACATGATCAAGACATGTGATTACCTCAACAGTGTGCGAGAGCCCGCCTAAAGATGGCCAACACAGAGCTGAAGTCAATGTTTTGGAGCAAGAAAATTCACCGACGAGTGTATTTTGTGTTGTTGCAAGTGTGAACATATTTAACTGACCTGTTTTGTGGCAATATTGACAGTGATTAATTCCCATGATGAATAAGCCAGATGTCATGTGATGCTGTGGATACGATGATCGTTGCCCCAGGTTACGGCCACTGTTACCATGGAAACAAGAACCGAACCTGGATGGACCCAACTAACGCACCATGGAACCTACCCTTTGTTATTCTCCAGGAGGATTAACAAATTTCCATTCATTAAAATTCCAATGATATTCATTATCATGTCATAACGTGTCCGACTGTTTTCTAGGTATATGTAGCGGCCGTCACCTTGTAGCTTTGTACATGCATGGTGGCATAGAGAGCATGGAGTGTCAAGTATCTAGTTAACATTTACCTTCATTTGTACCATTGCCATGGAAACATATATTCATTGATCAATATAGTCAATATAGAAATGGATCCTTCTTTTAATGGTGGGGGCATGGGTGGCCCAGTCATCTCAGGCACCAATATTACCTGTTCAGAGTTGCCTCCCTTGGGTACCACGGAACCTTTGTGGGTTTGAATCTTGGTGGACCCTGATTATATGTCTAGGTTTGTCATCACTATTACCATGACTGGGTTTCATCAAAGTGGTTAATATCTTAGACCTGTGTCACTGTCTCCAACACTCAGCAGACAGGCCATTATAACATTTGTATACTGATCAAATCAGTGTTAAGCCCAACTCGCTCACTTTCAAATGGTTAAAGTATACAAAACATGATTACCATTACATCAGTGCAAATGGGGAATGATACTGAGCCAAGCTTTTATCTGGATTGATACGTCTCATTTACATTTGTTGTCTGTAGGCTACAATGTGTCTATTGGTAGATTTTATTCTAAAAATTACCAAAAATATGCAGTCATTTTATTCTTATGTTAGGGGTTATATCAAGGCATCTGTGGACATATGAAGCATGAATGTTTACCAGGACTAGTTTCAGGGTATTACGGTCAGTGGGGTAGCTTAGTGGTCAAGGCACTAACTTGTCATGCCTTAGACCTTGATTTTATCCCCACATGGGTACGTCAAAATCCTATCTGGGATTTGTTAATGTTGAAACCTTGATTTTTGAACTAAGACACCCTGAGGAATGAAGCCTGTAATGATTATTATTTAATTAATCCATTTGGAACAGTAAGGGTGCCGACCCACTTTAAGTATACTGGATGACGAGGTCTGTTTAGTTATATATGGGTAGGTGGGGTAGCCTAGTGGTTAAAGCGTTGGCTCATCACGCTGAAGACCTGGGTTCGATTCCCCACAGGGATACAATGTGTAAGGCCCATTTCTGGTTTCCTCCGTAGGTGTATTGATGTACTCAAACACTGATGTACAGGTGTATTGATGTACTGATGTACAGGTGTATTGATGTACTCATACACTGATGTACAGGTGTAGTGATGTACTGATATACAGCTGTATCTATGTACTGATGTACAGGTGTATTGATGTACTCATACACTGATGTACAGGTGTAGTGATGTACTCATACACTGATGTACAGGTGTAGTGATGTACTGATGTACAGGTGTATTGATGTACTCATACACTGATGTACAGGTGTAGTGATGTAGTCATGCACTTATGCACAGGTGTACTGATGCACAGGTGTACTGATGTACTGATGTACTCATGCACTGATGTACTCTTGATAAATAGTTTCCACCAACCATGTAAAATCGACATGAACCTGAAACCTGTATCTAGAATTCAATATTTTATTGTCCATTGTTATCCACAGATATGCAGTTTTACCTGTAGTTGGGCATCAGGACATTAATTGTACTGAGTATGAATATATGCATCATATTGTCACAATATGTGTTGACGGAATTGACATAGACTGAAACCTGTTTTAGAGCTGCATTCAAACAGCACGACTCCTTGACAAGTGTTTCTAGGAGTAATCGTCATAGCAACAGATAAGTGTAACAAGATAACTGAATGTTTTGATAAGTAAATAATGTACAGTTAAGCAAGACCCACTCAAGGTTATGTAAAACATGGCACTGCAGACAATCAGCTAGTCATCAGCAGTAAAGCAAATATAGCAGAAAGGAAGCAATTATTTTTAAGGACAACACTATAAAACAGGCACATTACTGTCTCTCAGATGTGAAAAAAATAGTCCAACAGTTTGGCAAATGATAGTCCACCACATAAGTATATGCCCAACAGATAAAAAAATAATTGTCCATTAGATAAGCAAATTTTAGTCCCACAGATAGGCAAATAACAGTCCATACAATGATTTTTGAAAATTAAGATGCGCAAACTTGAGATATATTTCTGTTGGACAATTGAAACTGCATTGATCTGTGCAGTCCTTGACAACAGTGGTGGTGGATTGTCTGCCCATCTTTGTTTGCTTGCTGCTGACTAACTGTACTGGCATGAACTTCACTTGCACTATGTCACTCGCCCCTGTATTCCGATACTGAATGTGAATGAATTTACTGTTACACGGGAGAACCCCGACTGTCCACACCAATTGTTCATAATTTAGCAGTAAGCGAATATTGATCAGACAGTGACTTAAAATAACAGCAGCCCACTGCTATTTCTGCTTGTCACGGTCCAGAGGACCAGCAGTTTTGTTAACCCTAACTTTTCATCAAGTACTGAAGCAAGCCAATATTTTCTGTAGCATGACATTAAGATGGATATATGCGGTAGTTGCCATGGTGAATGCCTTGCAGGTGCTTGTTGAATTGAATGACTTTCAGTTAGCCAATATGAAAATATATAGATTGAAATGTGCTTCATTGCATGATGGTGGCAATATGTCTGACATGGATATCTGTAGAGTAGATCCCTAACAATGAATATATTTAACTATCATAACACATGCCTAGGATGTAGACTTTTTTCCTACTGACGTTAACGATTGTGATTCTAGTAGTGCAGTTGGAAAGTGATTAAACTATTTTATCACTATCCCTATTTTATAGTGATTTTATCAGTTTCGTAATGTAATGGCTATTCTACATGTATATATTGAATTGAAAAAGTTAAGAATCATGACTATTTCAGGAATAGTCTTTCCTACAAAAAATAACCCTGAAAACAAAAATAATCCTTAACTGTTTGTAGGTCAGAGTAATTTTGCCCTCGGTTGGACACAGCACCAGGTAATGGTCTTTGATAATTGTTGGGCTGCCACACTATGGGATAACCACTTACCTATATCACACACTGATTGTGTGGACTCTCCCACCCCCACTCTTGCCCCCACCCCACCTTGTATCAATAGCCCCAGCCACCTGTACACACTTGTATATAGTACAAGCATCAGTCAACTGATAATCTACCAAAATCAGCAGTGCCAAAGTATTTTATATTATGTTTTTTTCTTAACTTCAATTTTGTCATGTCATTTAGCTTGGAACTAAAATTGAAAGCTGAACAAATTTTATGGATTTATGTAATTGGCTGTCCGCATATTTACTGACTTCAGTGCTTGGTGTACATTGAGATGACTTTTGAGTGGTGAGACTGAATGGTAGTAATTTGATAGCTGCATCAATCATATTATTCACCAGCTAGTTCATATTTGAAGTTATTGCATCTCGATTCGTACTCTGCAACACAACCACATACAGGAGTCTTTTGTTTTAGGCCACAGATTCAGAGCATGATTATTGAAAAATCATGAACTGGGAACTGATTAATGAGAAATGTAAAATTTGTCAAATTTAGTTCAGTAGTATAAGCAAGGTACAGGTTGATTAACGAGTAAAATATAATCTGTTAAAATTAATGTTTAGTTGCATAAGCAAGAAAAGCAGCATTGTTGAAATCCACAAGTTCTTGTGTAGTGTTACTGAAATGCCTCTAGATTTTAGACATAGGTTTACTGTAGGCCATAAATTCATCAAAATTGAACTGATAATTGAGAAATATAAAGTCAGCTTCAGCTGTATGGTTAAGTAAAGCAGTCATTGTTGAAATCAGTTGTATTAGACATACTCCTATAGCTTTCATCGTGCCTTCGGTCTGGACAGCTTCATTATGCTTGGTACATGTGATACAGGATACATATGTGATATATACTTGTAATGCATGACTCACGTATGATATGTATCACATGTGTATAGTGTCATGTATCACATGTGTATCACGTATCACTGTACACACAAATGATCTCCGTGCAAACAAAGGAAAGGTCAAAATATTACTTCCCTTCAAATATTACCATTTTTGTAGCATCATATAATCGCTGTCATTATAACGACACAACTTAAAGGAAAATGGACAAGACAGCACCAGGGACATTTTAGACATTCTCAGAGGCAAGCATTTAGTCAACGGTATATGTTTATAAAAGTCTCTAATTTGGAATTAAAGCTATCCCAGGTCAAGTTATAATAATATCAACTTAATACATCCTGGCCTTGTCTCTGTGACTACGATTGACATTATTGCATTAAATGCAATGTGAGAACACCGAAATTCAGCAATCTATGAAACTTGCTACAGTTCCCTATTCAGCTCCACAAAATTTGTTTTGTCCAATTTTCTCACCAAAGGCACTTAGTCTGAGGCACTAGATAAATCCCTGCTGGCTTGTTTCAGGGTACCGTTGTCTTACCAGGAATGTTTTGTGAAGTATATGGGAGTATTTTGTCAACATTCCTTGAACCAAGCCCAGTTTGCAACAGTTGATAGTTTATTCCTTCGAGACATTATCAACAATGTTAAACCCCTTCCTTGTCTTTGTCTCAGCCTTTGTTTCAATACAGCCTTTCATCCCCGTAGTCTGTAGAAACAAGGGCAGATAACTCTAGATGCATTTAGTGACTAATATTGTAACTTCTGGAGCTTGATACTTATCCTGAGTGCCTCTCTAACAGAAAAATAATCATCATTTATAATTTGTGAGGGATGTGATTGACTAACATACATGGAGAGACTTTTTAAGTTTCATCAAAAGTCAGCTGAGATGGCGGAGGCATCAGTAACACCAAGCTAACTTCAGCCTTTGGTCTGCCTTGTCACCCTTAATGATATCACACAGACCCACGATGTAGGTGTACACACCAAGTCACAATAGTCCTCAAGTTGGTGTTCACTTGTACTAATTCAAAAAGTTCTTGCTAGAACAATTGCTTGTCCTTGAGATCGCTGACTTAGAAGTTTTGTTTCTGGCATGTCCCTGGACTCGGACTAGTGGTGGATTTGGGTGTGTGATGCCGATATCACTGAGATTGGTTTGTTTAA